TCGATAGGTCATCCTGCGTCACCTTTCAGTGTAACCGATGGACTCGTCCAGAGAAATCATCTGTACCTGAGCAAAATCACAGCGCCTTTTATTCATTCGTCAAAGAATAGAATCAGACATTTTATCTTTTAATACTCGTACATGTTCAAGAAAACCTTTATATTTGTGTCTAGAAATATTCTTACGATTTATGCAAATAACAAATTCTTGATTTTAAACTAAGTAAATCGTTGACTAGCATCGTTTTAGATAACTCTGGGACTCGCGTAAAAATCAAAGAGCGGTAATGTTGACCTCCGGAATGTATATAGGTCAATGCATGCGCGATCGATAAACAGGTTGCACAACTGTAAACAAAGTCAAGGTCCGAGGAAAATTTACGATGCATGAATAAAATGACAGTGAATGATTTTAATTGCGCTTGATTTTTTTTTATAAATAATGCAACATTGAGTCTCAATCGAATGAGAGATGATAAGTTTTTTCCTATCCCCCGTTTTGTAATTCAAACTAAATACAAGGAGAAAGTTGTCTCTGAATAATCTGTATGACATCCAGCTAGAGAATACGTTAAAAACTTTATTTCAACAAAGTTTAACATTCAGTTTAGTTAAGTATATTATTCTTATCCAGTTTATTTCGGTTATACGTGTTATACGCGTACGCATAAAGAATTCTTCACTTGCCGTATAAAATTAATCAGTTACCTGTACATAAAGTTTGCAGCTCATTCAATAACACAAGATTCGAACAAAATAACGTTTTCATGAGATCAATAAGATGTTAAAGAACCCATTTCAAATCAATAACCATATCGAAATATTTATCGTTTTTGAGTTATAATGCAAAAATTTTCATGTCCCCTTGACCCCTAATTTGAGGGGCCAGCCCCTTTTTAATGATGTCAAATTATAGATCTTAAAATTATGCACAATATTTGTGAAATATGTTTTAACAAATTATTTTTAGTTTAAAAGATACACAAGGAAATATTTGTAAAATTTGGCGCTTTTAGGCATTCTCATTTTTGACCCCTATCTAGCACCGTTTGGAGCGCAGAAATCGAAAAAGAAAAACCGATAGGCACAATTTCAATTCATCTAGTATTTAAATGCAGTAGACATTCTGCTCCAGCTTTTGTCGTTTCTGAGCCTTTGTCTGGAAACGAACAGTACCAAATTTTCACTTAAAGGGAAATAACTCGAAAGCGGAAGGGAATTTTTGAAATGTATGAAAACATTTTAATTGAGTTTTGTAACGTCCAAAAACTCTGAAAATTTGAGCGAAATCCGTTCAGAAATGAGCGAGTTACGAGGTCTCAAAGTTGGCGTCTAGGAAAAAAAAAGAATAATAGGGAATAATCTTAACCATCAGAATCAGTAGAAGGTCTTCCGCCTGAGCGGAGGACCTTAATTAGAGGATCTGTCTGTGCTTCAGATCTGTACATTGTATTTCTATAGTCAAGAGTGCAACACATATCTTAAGGATTCCAATTGTATGAAGAAAACACTTAATTTCATGCTTAGACGTATTCATAAATTTATAATGTGTTTTGTGTTATATATGTTACAAAGAATCTGTGAAAGTATCTTAAATTTTATTAAGTGTTAAGTTTCGGATAAGAGATGGGTACTCCAATTAGTGTAACAGACGGACGGACGGACGGACACCCCGAACACTAAACCTCCCGTTTTCAAGCGTGGTATATAAAAAAAAATACATATTAGATGTCAGGAGTGCAACACAATAAATTAAAAAAAATATATTGGGTCACTTCAAAATAAATTTAAAAAGTTATTGGGTCAAAATCTAGCATTCATAAGAGAAAAATCCTTCTGGATATATTTTTACAGAATTGACTTAGGCGGACTAAAAAGTGAATTTTGGGGAATTTTCGTGCTTTATATATTTTTTTCCCATTGTAAAATTTTTAAACAAGAATTGAAAAAATAATGTAAAATAACATTTAAAATGCCAGTTTTTTGCCACATATGCAAGACAAAATACTCAAACAAGGTCTAGATTTAATAATTTTTACTCCTGTTTCCGTTTCTTTTCAAAAGATTACGAAATAAATAATTATGAATTTTTAAAGTCCAATTTTCTATTTGATTACCACTTCAAAATCTCAAATGTGCATGTGCATTATGATGATATTTATTTAATGAAAAATAAGTAGGTAAATTTTCAAAATAAAAAATCTGTTTGGTGGTCTTTTTTACTCTAAATTCACCCTCTATATTAATACTATTTTAAAGAGATGTTCTAACTCTATATAGATAGTCAAGCTTTAAAATTTTATGATATATTTTACATTCAACAGCATACTAGTATCTTAAAATCGAAAACAGTCTTACTAATAACTTCATCACCTATTTATATAACTTTTTAAAAATGAAATAAGAATATATTATATAAGAAACTTTCAGTTTTGTCCTACAACTATCATGTAACAATCCAATCTTTTTCAACTTCCAGTCTAAGTTTTTGTATTGATTTGTTGTCAAGGGAACTCTTTGTTGGTCAATGCCCATAGGCTAACAAACCATGTGCTCTCTCTCTCTCTCTCTCTCTCTCTCTCTCTCTTGATATACAAATATTTGTATTACTTATCTTACCTTTTTTGGAAGTATATGAGAGGGTAATAATGTTTTACAGAACAATTCAAGGAATTGAGAGGCGGAGCCCCATTCGAATGTTTTAATGGCCAATCAGTCAACAGTGACATCACCTCTTTTAATAGTTTTTTGGTGTAACAATTTGCATATATACAGGTGCAAATCCTACAAGATATTTCCCTGACAGATTCAATGTTGATGCTTTTCACGATCCCGATCCATACTGTCCACGAAAAACTTATGTAAAAAGGCTGAAATCGTCAAAAGGTAACTTTTTAAAAAGAGTTTTCTTAGCTTTATCTCATCTGGTATATTATACATGTTTGGTATCTTTGGTTGTCTTAAGGTTCATTGATACTCTGATAAGAGGGATAACTCTTAACTATTATTCCTTTATGAATTTGCCAATTTTGGCCCGCAAGCTATGTTATAATTGTTTGTATTTTACCTATAAATTACATTTCGTTTGGAAAATAATCAAGGCTCAAGCAACATTTTATATGAGTGAGCAGAGGGTTTATGATCCTTAATAAAAATAAATATTCAATTTGTTATATTCTTGTTTTAGGTTTGCAATTTGAATCGAATAACGAAGATTTCAAATATATATTTAGGTGTTTTCTTCTGTTGCTCAATTCATCGATATATAGTCTGCGGAAAGTAAAAACTCCAAATATCCTAAAATATTATTTCTGACAGATATTTTGAATACGCATAATTTTTCCTTATACAAGCCTAAGCATTGCATACCTCAAGGTATGTAGGTGTCTTTGCCTGATTTGCTAAATGATAGCTGTATAATGTTTTTATGGTCACCCGAACAAGGAGTAAATGTGATTGGAAAACAAATAACAAAAATAACTGAAAATAATAATGACCCCGAGCTTTTCCCTTCAGTTCTGCCTCTTTTTGGATATGGTCACATCAGTGATAGAATCACAGTCGCTTCCCAAAAATGACGGTTACATGTATTATGCAAACTCAAAATTTTAGAACGTACAAATTAATTGGCCAACTTTTAAAGGTCACCTCCAAAAAAATCAAACTTCAGAAGTTATGAATTAGCTATACGTATGTCTTACTATACTATAAATTATCCGACAGAAGAAAACTTATTTATTTGTTTATTTTATCCTACATGATAATCAGTCGAATACTCGTTTTAAATCATGTACAGATTTAAGCAATGACATGTAAAAAGAATTACCACAGTTTGTTTTATTTAAAGGGTGTATTACGATACGATATGTTACCTTTTATGCATCCATCAAGTATCTCTTTCTTGAAATTAAACTATTTTTACTACTTTTATTGTATACTAATGTAACTGCCTGGCAATATAAGGATAAAAAAATACATATATAAATTGAAACATACAAATATCAGCACAATTAAACCTTAAGTCAGCTAACACTAAAAATTTAAAACAATTTTTTTTAAATTACCAAGCTTTGTTTATGAATAATTTGTCCTTTACCGCTTGATTGCTCAAATTGATTTATATCAAATTCTGCTTAATAATTAATTAAGTATACTATAAAACCCACTTTTTTTCTTCGTAAGTTAGTTTCATACCAAATGGTTTACCTTTTTTTATCCCAGTCATCATCCTCACCGATGAAATACACAGTTGTCTTATCAATACTTAATATGGAAACCCCGTCAAGATTGGACACTTTCACATGCCACTGGGTGTTACATACACTATTTTGATGTTAGTTTCCTACAATCAATAAAAGAAAAGGCCCATAATAAATTCTCAAGATAAATGAAGTCATTTGGGTAGGTGTGCCAGTTATAGGACATGAATTCGATTGGATGCCACTTTGAATGCATATTCATACCTAAATAAATTATTCATTCAACTTTAACATGTTATCAAAAAGGCTCCAATGTTTGCATTCCCTTTAGTTTACCTGGAAAAAGTTTATCCATTCTGTTGACTAACATCTTTATTTAAGAAAAGCTGTCATGTGATGTTTGTTAATGTAGATTGTGAAGTATCATAAAATTGTCCATGCTATCAAAAGTTTCTTATTAAAAATCATTTGTCCACTCCTACCCCAACATTTAGTTAAGTGATATCTTTATTTAATCTTTATCTGACGACGTCTAAAAATATGTATATCTGCAGTTTTTAAATATGAGTGGCAAAACCCCCCGTTATTCATACTTTAAGCCTCTCATTTCAAAGCTGTAAATTATTCGCTTTATGTTTATCTGTATCGGTATTGTTAAGAAAAAGTAATTTAATTTGCTAAGGTTATGCAAATATTGTGTCATGAGTGCATAATAAGAGTCTTTCATGAAATAAAGAAAATGCATTCATTTTTCATCTGTTAAGCACTATGAATTATATTTGTGTTTCTTAATTTTTTTCAGAAAACAATGAATAGTATAGATGAAGAACTTATCCGTCCAATATACAAAAATGGCAGATATCAAAATCCTTTTGACACATGGGAAGATACACCTGGGTTAAGAAATCTCTTCAAACTGATGAGATGTGAAGATTTCAGCAAAATTCCAAATCAGAGGGTCTATACTAATTCAATGCTGATATTTTAAAATGTCAAAAAAAAAAAAAAAAAAAAAAAAATCATAATGTAATAATTTTTAGGTTGGGGGTTTGGTTGGGTTTAGAAAATCCTATGACATAAAGATGTACATATTCAGATTATATTGCATTATTTAAAACAACGGCTAATAGGTACATGTATATATTAATTAAGAAACATCACTGGTATTTGCTTAAATGGGAAAAATATCATGCAAAAAATTAAATTCATTCATTTTACATCTTTGAGCATATCATTTTAATTTCAAGAAATTTTTGTTGAATTGGAACTCTTGAGTGTTCACTTAGGATCTCTTTAAAGGTCTACTATGAAATCACTTATTTTTGTGGGGTTTTAATTTCGTGGTTTTGAAGGTCTGAAGAGTCCCTTGAATTTATGTACACCATGAATTGCTACTTTGTACATATAAACAATGTATATGACTACTGAACAATTCTAAGTCACATCTCCATAAATCAATACATTTTTACCCTAAATTATATAATTTTACCCCCTAAAATACGTGATTTTACAGTAATCTATCAATATTTCAGCAAACTGTAATCAAACTCTTTATTACACATTTAGTAAGTACAGATGGTATATATACACATTCCCGATATCTTTGCAATGATTAAAAGCACTTGTGTTTTTTGTTTTGCTTAATCCATCCGATGAAAGTGTGATTAAAAAGACATGTTTTTGATATTACACCAGAAGATGCACCTATTTTAAAACCAGCCATAAAAATGTATTCATTTCAAACTTTCACGACAGGAATTGGATAAAACCCTACCAGTGGAGATCCCTGATTTTGAGAAATTACGGAACCCACCACCATCTGAGATGCAAATAATGTGGATAGGACATGCCAGTGTGTTGGTACAGATGGATGGGGTCAATATTCTCACCGATCCAATATTCCGTGATAGGTGTTCCCCAGTCCAGTTTATGGGACCAAAAAGGTATCGTCCTCCACCTTGTAAAATAGAGGATCTGCCACATATAGATGCTGTTATTATCAGTCATAACCACTACGATCACCTAGACTATGGTAGTGTTCAGAGTCTTAATTCAAAATTCAAAGATAAGGTCACTTGGTTTGTAGCGGTGGGAACGAAGGAATGGATGTTAAATGCAGGCTGTCAAAATGTGATCGAATTGTCGTGGTGGGATGAAGCGGAGTTACCTGGAAGACCAGACTTTAAGTTTGTCAGCGTTCCCTGTCAACATCGATGCGAACGCATATTACTTGATACTATGAAGGTAAATGGTATGATAAGGATACTATTGTTTTAAAGCCAAAACAGATAAGTAAGTGTAAAACGGTTAACGTTAAACTGTGGTAAATAAATGTTTGTTTTCGAAGGTATACCTATCACATACAAATCAAAATAAAATTAAAAAAAACGTTTTGAAACATTTCTGAATGGAATTATCTTTGAGTATAGAACTAGATGTACTTGCTCATACAGTAGCCCACAACAAACCTTACTATACATGTCTACTTTCCAGTAAAGAATTACTCGATATAAAATGATGATTTGTAATAGTACAGTTGATCTTTTAGGCTCTTTGGTGTAGTTGGATAGTAAGGGGACCAAGGAAGAGTTTCTATTTTGCCGGAGACACAGGATACTGTATTGGCTTTAAACAAATTGGAAGAAAGTACGGACCTGTAGACTTTGCTGCAATTCCAATTGGAGCCTATTATCCAAGGTGAAATTACAAAAAGGAACTTATGAAGTTATGATCCATGAATTCAGAAAATATTGTAATATGTAGCTAAATTTTAATATCAGCTGAAAAGTAGGCATCTGACAAGTTTGACTGCTCTCCCTTTCTATCTCTTCATTTTTATGATGGCTGACAAAATATCATTTTTGATATAGGTGGTTTATGAGACCTATGCATGTAAACCCGGAGGAGGCTGTAAAAATATTTGAAGATGTCAGAGCAAATAATGCCTTAGGTATTCACTGGGGAACGTTCAAAATGACACGAGAGGTCCGTTACACTTTCATTTTGTATTTCATTTCGTTTAATTTTAATGTTAGTAGCCATCATTAAAGCTATGATTATTACTGTGTCCAATCTGTCAAAGGGAAAAAGAAATATATTGAAATAACAAGTAGTATTCAAGCTCAAAATCCATTCAAACAATACAGATCAGGAGTAGAGCAAACATAGACCTGTATATAATGAGGGTCAAAAACCATATTACCTGAAGCCACATCGCTCACCTGGGTACTTTGGTCATACTGTTCTTTACCAGATTTTCCCCTTGTAACGCCTGTTGTGGCCCCGCCCTACCCCGCGGGGTCATGATTTGAACAATCTAGAATATAAACTACCACCAGGATGCTTCCACTTTAGTTTCAGCTTAATTACTGGCCTAGGCGGTGGTTACAGCATAAACATAATATGTACCAGGCTTTCATAAACCTCTTTCTGTCCTGGGAACAGGGTCATGAAAACTTAGAGACAAAAGTTTGGGACTACTAATCAATGCATCCATTCTACATGCTCTACAGTAAAACTCATCATCTTTTGTGTTTCTGGTGTTCAGTTGTTTTGTTACCATAAACTTTCAACTACATACAGTTTCAGCTACGTTTCTGCAACTATTCCCGACCAAGCGCGTTTCTGTGTTTTTGACAGTTTCTTTTTATTTTGCTAATATGTGATCATATTAACACCTGTTCTGTACAGTATTAAATACCTTTGGGCAAATATGTAACCTAGAGTTCAAATTTCGGTTTATGAGATTTGTATCGCCTATTTTACATCCTTCACACAAACCACAACCACCAGCCGACATTGCTGCCACTTTCAATCAATGTACACACCGTTTTTTTTCCTTCGTGTACTGAAGAGTTCGAGAAGATAAATTTGGAAAAAAAATTAAGAATTCTTGAGTCGTTTTGCTATGCAAATCCAAGAAATTCCTTAAAAGATATTTTGTAAAATATCACATTAAGATTAGATAAATAAATGTAAACAAAAGTTCACCTGATGTATCAAACGAAACTGCACCTCCCATGAACAAATAAATAGTTAATCTGGTTCTCTGTCGTTGTTATGCTCCGTTAGCTGTAGAACTGTTGCTCTCCGCAAAAGAAATACTGACAGACCACAGAGCTACAATGCCTCCCAAATTAAAAATTGTCTATCCATTGCACACAATAATCTGTGCTTGTTTCTTGATTCATTTCTCAAAATTTCTACCTCTACTTGCAATCGATTTCAATCAATGTTTTAGAAATCTATAAACTAATTTCATATATAGTTGACATCTGCACGAAGCCTATTGAACATAATTATTTTGGCAACAAAAATGGCAGTTTAATCGGGCGAAATTTTTAATAGTTTCAATTTCATGTCCAAGGAGGCTCTTTAAATCCTTTCAACGAATAATTTGTATTTTGGAAATAGTATACACTTATCCACTGGCTGTGAGTTGGATAGCTCTTTTATCAAACCCGCGACAGGAACTATTCCCCGAGGGCTTGCCCAAGATCTTTTTGGGAGTAAGATAATGCTGCAAGAATAATCTGAAATCCTGATGACGTCACAATGCTACTGAAATCATTATGACATCATCAGTCAATAGATTTATTGCTGGAAATCAAAATTGGAGGCAAAAATTGCATGAAAATTCTCCGAGGGTGGATAGCAAAAACTATACCCCGGGGTATAGCTTTGCTATGTCTGAACTATAAAAGATAGCTATTTTACCTTCTTAACTTTATATAGGAAACATTTTAACAGAAGTATAATAATAAATAATATGTTATGAGCACACGGTTAGTAATATTTTGAAACGGCAGTTTGAAAAATATGGAGATATTAGTTGAGAAAAAGCGCATTTTATTGTGCGCAATAAATATGCAATTTTTTGAATAAGTTGTACTGTAGCTCTCTGGTCGTCCATAACAATCTTCTGCAGATTAGTAAGCCACAGATCTAGATCTGCAGCTAATGTTCCGTATATACATGCACTCCGCTTCACTTGGCCTTGGCAAGGCATAGAGGTAGATTTTCTTTTTTTAAAGTCTTTGGAATATTCTAAATAAATAAGATCTGGCAAAAAAAAAACTTCATACAAAAAGTAATACTTATTAATTCTACATAGAAAATAGACATATCTAAAATTATTGTTTTATTTGACATTTTTAAGGGCTTATAAATGTGTTAATTTTCTTTGAAATCCAAGCCCACCACATATAGATGTAGATCTATCTCGAATAGGAGGGCGCATTTGTATGAACTTTTTTTTATCTCACAACATATTTATGTGCAACGGTACATTCTCTTCAAACTTTTGTAGTAACTTTACTACATGTATCATCTCATTTAATTTCGATTAAGTAATACATTGTTAATTTTGCATGATTTTTTAAAAGACACTTTTAAATTTCATAATGAATCTATTAAAAAAATAACATATGTTTATATCTACAGTTTTATTTGGAACCCCGGACTAGGCTTGAAGAAGAGTTGGACAAGAAGAGTATTAGCAGAGAAAAATTCTTCACCCTCCGTCACGGTCTGGTGCACATAGTTGGACGTGATAAACCTGAACATGATTGATCATGTCTCAATTACAGTGTGTAGATAACCATGATCTACAACACAGGAGTTCGCGTACCTATCAATTTTACCGAAATTTTCAGTAAATAAAAAAACAAAAGGTAATACCTATAATAATTATAGGTATTATGTATTTTTTATTTACTGAAAATTTCGGTAGAATTGATAGCTACGCGAACTCCTGTGATCTACAATGACACAACAACTCCAGAGTCCAGAGCAACCACTTTCATCTTGACAATTTACATCCAATGAATATGTTCTCCATTATTTCTTATAAAATAAACCCCCCATTAAACCGATAACAAGTCCATAGAATCTCGATTATCTGTATAATCTCTAAAGGAGATATAGATGGATTGGTATTTAAATTTTAAATTCAAGCCACCGATCGAAAGTTTCTGAAGAAGCAGACTCTTTTGTCAATATTCACGTAGCAAAGATGCTTATACGTGAATTAATGGTTGCAACCATTGCAAATATATAACATAATTAGGTAAATCTTTTCTGAAAATATTGAAGCGGTAAATTTCAAGAAAACATTTAATTGTTTTAATACAGTGTATATTGATAATTCAATTTTGAATGAAGTCACGTAAAACAGTATTTACCTGTGTTTCATTTTTCTTTTTAAAACAGATATTTTAAGTGTTATATTACATTATTTTTTACTCAGGCCAAAGCAATTGCTGACATTTTCTTTCAATGCTTCAATCACAAAGTGTACTTGCAATGGATATTTTGTTTAGCAGGAGGATAAAACGTACGCGCAATTAGGATCTCGGGACTAGCAAATAGTTCATCATTTTGTGCAGTACTGTTATACAACATTACATGAACTCTTCAGGCATTTAAGGCACAAACGTGAATTCATCGTATCAATATGGTGACCTCAAGTCACCCTACATGTATATTTTGATTTAAACTTGAAAACATGACAACAATTTGATGGTAGAATTAAGACTCCGACTCGGACGCCCTCCCTTTTACCTTTCACGAAAGTTTCACCGATTAACTTTATCAAACAATACATGTACAAATTATTATCAGCAGCATTAAAACCAGTGTAATTGTTACTGTGTTAAAATTTGTACACATAGGAAATTAAGGGTGTTCATTCGCTCAGTATTACCACCAGTCATCTACAATACAAAACTATGCTTACTGGCAAAAAGTATTGAAATAAGCTTCTGAACATTAAATCATGTGAAGAATTTTTTTTCACTCCTATATTAAATAATCAAAGAGTACCAATGTTTCTTTTATCAGAACACACAGAAAGGATTTTTGTTATATGAGAATAAAAGGTTCCCTCTGTTCATATAGTAAAAGGAAATTGGGTATCAGATTATTGTTTCTACTATGCATTTCTTTTTTGATGAGTATAATCAATAGATCCATGCCCTAACACCAGTACATCAGTACCTGGGACCATAAAAATCACAATTTAGAAAAAAAAAACCATGCTCATCATAACTCTGCATGTACTGTAAATCACTTTTTATTCGCGAGAACTTTATTTTCGCGTAATTACGCGAGACGGTGTACTCGCGTAAATTTAATTCTCGCGTTTAATAGTATTCCTTAAGATTATATAGAGCAGTAACCACAATTCGTGAAAATTTTGTCTCGCTAATCAAGAGACAATGAATATCTCGCGAAAATAAGGTGTCGCGAAAATTTATTGATCTACAGTATGTTCAAAGAATTAAATACATGTAACTATACAATCAATAGTACCCATGCCAAAGGGGCTATGGAATTATGATTATTGAAAAGGCATCTATGTTTATCATAACTATATACAGACATGTGGTTAATGGGTTATATACCCAGGAGCAGAGAAGAAGATTTACGAAGACTTAATGCATTTTCATTGTAGAGTCAATAGAACCCGACCCTAAGACCGGAACCCCCGACGTAGGGTCATTAAAATTCGAAATTTTGACAGAGCCATATTTTCACATAGTACGTACAGTTGTATGTACTTAAATAGTTTAATATTTAATACACAGGAGCAGAGAATAAGATATTCTAAAAATTAATGTCTTTTCACTAAATAATCAAAAGACCCTCATCCTAAAACCAGAACACCTTCAATTGGACCATGAAATTCACAATTCTTTAAGAGACAACTTTAACATTATTACTGTGTATTTTTAGTTTGTGAACTTCCAAAAAGGAGAATTTCGAAGAATTAATGCACTTTTACTATATAATCAATACAGTCCACCTCCGCCTTCACCAGAATTACTGACACTGGGGCGAAGTGTATTGCCTATCATAACAATGCATTTCTCCTAATAAAATAATACCCCTGAGTTGAGACAAAGATTTTCAAAGAAATAATGCATTTTTACTTAGTATAGCCTAACCCTAATATTAGAACTCCTGACCAAAGGGCCATGAAAATCACAATTTTGGAAGAGACATCCTTTTTGTAATAAATATGTACTTAGATATTTAATATATAACACCCAGAAGCAGAGATGATTTTTCAAAATTTAATGCATTTTCATTATTATTTATTTATTTTTTTATTATAATCAATAGAGCCAAATCTAACACCCAGGGGCCGAAAAATCCACAATTTTTAAAGAGGCATTCTTTCTCATCATAGCTATGTGTGTACTTAGTTTAGTTAATACGCAGGAGAGAGGAGATTTTTGAAAAAAATAATGCATCTTTTCTATGAAATCTATATATAAGTAACCCCATCCTAGCGCTAGAACCCCTTACCCTAGGGCATTGGATTTCACGATTTTGGTAGAGGAATCATTCATGCCAACAGTTTGACTGCTTGATTTCAAGGAGTAAAGAGGGTTTTTAAAGAGGGTTTTAAAAGATTGCACTAATTTTAGTGGTGTTTGCCCCATCCTTCAAGCCCCAGAGGGACAGGGACCATGAGATACACAATTTTGTTCCACCTTCACGATGGGTCTCTATTATTTTAAATTTAACTGTGGTGCAAGAATCGCGCGTTTTAATATTCCCCGCCATTGCGCAACAAAATTTGCGAAGGAAACAAGAAATAAATTGGAAAACACACAGCAATTATGAGTCAATATTCAATTCAAATAGAAATACCGATAAACACACACTCGTACTGAATGAATTATAGATATTTGCTTATAAAATCAGGAAAAAAGTATCAGCAGTAACAGGTTTTAATTATTTAATCCTTAATTTAAAAAAGAAAGGTTACAAAAGGTAAATATACAAATACAGTGTTCACAAAAGGGCAGAGGAATTAAATTTTGGTGGATCAGATAAAACGCAAACGATGTTTTCTGTAAGTGCAATGTTAGAGATCTCGTTAACTGCAGAGCATTTTTTAAAAGCACAAATTAATTGATACTTTAAATTTTCTTTGTAATTATCATGAAGTGTGAAAAAAGTCTTCAAGTGTCCAGCGAGGTCTAGAAGATGATTGTGCAAGCTAAACAATTGGCCCTATTAGAGTTAATTAACAATTTAGTTGAAGATGGTACTTAATTTTGAGGTTTAAAAGTGTATCTAAAAAAATCATATATTTATCGTACTGAAACAACGATCTTACTCTGGCTCTAATATTTTAACTGTGGCGGAACTATGGCGCAGATTTTTTTAGACTATGGCGCTAAGGAATTTAACTTCGGCGGGGACGTCACGTTAAACGGTCTATGGAGAACCCTGCCTTCATCCATAGACGATAAATGGCAAACGTGGTTGAAATTGGTTGAGCAGTTGTTGAGAAGAAGCTGAAAATACTTAAAAGATAGGACGCACGACGACGGCTTGAGTTTTCTCTGGTGACCATAAATAGTGAAAGTATCGATTATCACCGAGTGTGTATGATCGATATGTAGTGATTTCTCAGTTGGATTCTAAATTGCTCGTTTGTTGTTTAAACGTCTCTCTAGAGAATATTTCCACTCATAACACTGACTTGCCGATGGAGAGCTGCAAATTTTGCATGCGACTTCTAAGTTGGTAATGATATCTGAAATAGAAACATTTATGTTCATAAGTTAACACATATATTTTTACTCAGTATTCAAAGGTCATATAGGTGAAATGAAAATATTTAAATATATTTTAAAAGAGTTTTCAAATACAAAAACTAAATATTATTTGAATTTCTTTAATTGGGGAAGGGTGGTGGTGGTTAAAATTTAAAAAATATATTTTGGAGATCAAATAAAAAAATTTATGAAATTTTAATGCAAAGTATTATTTTTGACAATTTGAAATCAAAAGACTTTACAAAAATCAACAGCTTAAAAACTCTCGACTTTTCCCACGATAAATTAAAATTCAGCCTTTTTGATATCATTGACAGCTGCTTCTTCAATAAAAATGGAACTCGTAAATTCACTTAGCTTGTCATTGGTCATTTGCAAAATTATTTTGTTAAAACAAATTCTGATTGCACACATATTAAGTACTCTGACGTTGACATCAAGAAGATGATTGAGTTTCTGAATGACAATATCTATGTGGTTTTTGGAGACCAGGTATTCCAACAATCTATTGGAATTCCCATGGGCACAAATTGCACTCTGTTATTAGCAGACTTATTTTTATATTCATATGAAGCAGAATTTATGCAAAATCTTATGCGCGAAAAGAAGAAAACACTTGCTGTGGCCTTCAACTCGACGTTCAGATATATCGACGACATATTGTGAATTAATGATGGTACATGTAATTTCCATTCCTACGTCGATACGATATATCCTGGTGAGCCTAAGATACATGTAAAAGATACCACAGAGTCCGAATCTTCTGTTTCATACTTGGATATTTTACTTGAAAAAGACACTAATGGTAATCTAACAACGAAACTATATCATAAACATGATGACTTTAACTTTTCTATCGTCAACTTCCTTCACTTATGCAGCAAAATACCTTTTATCACGTGCATACGGAGTATATATATATCTCAGTTTATTCGATACGCAAGAGCATGCTCTACGTATGAACAATTTCTAAGACGATGTAAATTATTGCTCTGC